AGTTTTAATCCACTAACACATTTGGATTTAATTCCTTTACCTGTGAATGAAAGAGGTAGTTTAGATGGAAAGAAGAATGCCGAATTGGTGAAATCACTCCATGAAAAGATAAGAATGCAGAATTGAAAAGAAAAATGAGCATCATGCTTCTTAAGCAAACAATGTACGAAAACGCGTTACATTTGAACCAGGAGATTGAGTTTGGACACACTTGAGGAAAGAGCGTTTTTCAGAACAAAGAAAGTCGAAGTTGCAGTCACGGGGAGATGGTCAATTCCAAGTCCTTGAAAAGATCAATGACAATGCTTACAAATTAGATCTTCCAGGTGAGTATAATGTTTCGGCTACTTTTAACGTCTCTGATCTTTCTCTCTTTGATGCAAGTACAGATTCAAGGTCGAATCATTTCGAAAAGTGAGGTGATGATGTGATCCATGATACGAGTGCAAGTCCGGGCAATGATCCATTGATCGTTGGTGGAGGACCGATGACTAGGTCGCAAGTAAAGCAAGTCTAGGAAGCGATAGGATTGCTTGCTCAAGCTACGGTGGACGAAACGTTGATCACAACAAGCAAAGGAACAAGTTTCGTGTCGGGAATGGAAGAACAAATAAGATGGATCAACTTGGTTCAAGCAACGGACGAGGAAGCTGGACGTAACAACTATGCGACCGCATAGTTGTTAAGGGCAAGCGGTCGTGTGCCCTTTTACCGAGGCCACAAAGGAGAAGCCCAATTGATCTATGCGACCGCATAGACTTACACCATGCGGCCGCATTGTGTTTTTTCGAACGCGATTTTTTCAATGTTCGCAAAATCTTCTAATTTAGTTAAAGCTCTTGATATATTTTTGATATCTTTAAGACTTAAATTCCGTTTTTAGTTAGGTTTTATGGGTTCCTTATAAATATGACTTATTCTATTCATTGTAAGACACACAATTATTGAGAGATTGTTGCAAGGCAAATTTTGCTTTTTCCTTGTTCTTCATTAAATTAATTTCGAATTTATCAAGAATTAAATTCAAGTAAGGTTCGTAAGTTTTGTGATCACGAGTCAAGATATTGTTAGCGATTGTTTTGGTTCAATAATTTATTGGGTCGAACTTTTCAAATGTTGATTCTTAGCTTTCTTGGGTTGTTCTAATTTGTAGTGGGTTCCATAGCTACAATTGCTACGTGGGTTCGCATCAAATGATTTGTTTTTTTAAGGTTGCAATCCTTCTGCTTTTCTTCTTTTTCGTAGGGGTGGGGGATGTATCAAGTATAATTAAGTTAAACTGGGAGATGTTTACCTTTTGCAGATAGCATTGTCTTTTCAATTTAAATGGTTAGCAGAATGCCAGGTTATTTACCGAATTAAACTTAAAGTTTTCATTTCATTTTCCACTGGGTACAGATGTAGTATGTGAAATAGTTCCCTGTCCGATCAATGTATGTCCTATCATTGATGATCCACTAGATCTATCTCCAATGAATTAATATTTGTGGACATGATGCGATATTATCATGTATAGCCAGTCTTATTATTTGAAGTATTGTTTCCCCTCATGTGGCAAACATGATACTGTAGTCTAGAAATTTTTAAGATTATTTTATTTTATGTGGAAGAGGTTGATAGTCTATTTTTAAACAAAATTCAGGGTTATGCATTCAAATATCGTAATACTGGGCATAAAGCTTTTGATGCATGATAGCTGTTCAATTTTACATGGAAAGGAACCAAGAAAGACATGGATTTATGGAATGAGGAGAGAGTATGAAGAACTGAGGATTTAGAGGAACTGGATTTTGTGGTGATATCGAAGGTGGTTCGTGTGGAAGCTAACTGTAATCCAGATATCAGAAAGTTGAATACTGTTGGCATAGTGGTGTAACATTGTGAAGCAGAGGATATGGGAAACAGGCTGAGGTAGTAGGGAGGATAGAAGTCTGCAGAAGGTGGGCCAATACTTTTGTATTCAAATGTAAAAGGAATGAAATACCATGGTGGAAAGTTGATGAAAATTATGGGTGAAACTAACTGGGCATTTTGTATGCACATAGCTTTATATGATCATCTGAAGACTACTGGAAAATGTGGAGAATGTTATTAACCTGTGCTATTGCCCTTATAAACATGGATAAGTGGACCATATGTTTGATGTTTCTATATAAGTTGTTCAAACTTTTTAAGCATATCTAGGAGCATGTTTGGCTAAGCTTAACTAAATTTACTTGTAAATAATTAAGTTTTGACATACGTGATTATTTTATTGATCAAAATCGAAAATAAGTTATTTAACTTCTACAGTCCTGGTCTTAGTTTTGGATTTTTTTTTTCTTTGTTACTAACTGTCAAAAGAGGCAAACAGCATAATATTTCATGATGTTTTAATCTCTCTTTTTTTTTTGCAAGTTAACGTGTCTCTACTACAAAACATTGACAAAAGGAGAGATCGCCTAGGAATGTAATGTGAAATCTTTGGGAGGAAGTGACTGTTACTGAAGCTATTAATTATTTCTCTTGCAGCTAATGGAGAACGTGATCCCTGTCATGGAGAAGCGAAGACCTTCACGTTTCCTTCGGAGAGTTCATTCCATGCAGTGGTAATCAGATTCTAGTGCAGAGCCATGAAGATATTTAAATGCCCTTTCTCCAACGTGTCTGAAAAAGAAGTAAACATCGCTTCTGAAAAAAAAAAAGAATCCTTTTTAGCTTTTCTGATATGGACGATTGGATGGCACTTAAAAGAAGAAATTATACTATTCAGGTCTGCCCGCTTCAGCATCCGAACATGCACTTTGGGTTGAATAAGTTTTATGGCAATCGTGAGTCTTGAAAACAGTTATTTCTTCTTGCTGTAAAGTGAAATAGCATAAAGGAGGATAGAATTGGGATATTTGTAATGAAATTTTTGTGTTCAGTGAAGACAAGTTTAATTAGAAGTGTTGAGTGTATCTATTTACCTAGTATCCCATTCCCAGGTTCTAGTGTAAGGAGAGGGAATTGTAATGTCTTATTGTATCACTTCGTCTAATGGCTTATGATAGCTCCTTTTTGACAGCGTTGTGCGGGTGCGCGCATATATGTGCACACACACCTCTTCAATACTATTCAATTTTGTCATCAGTATGCCGAAAGCAATTTTTCTTAAAACGAACTTTTATGTTGTGTTTGGTAAATCAAATTAGATCATTGACTTTGTTTAGTACGATAACTATACAGTATAAAGAAGAAATACAAGTTAAAATTGCATGACATTGTGAATCAAACAAGCCCTAAGTGAAATTTTAAATGCAGTTATCATATTCTGGCTCATGGCCCCCATCGTGTTAGCTTGTTAGTTAGCCAATCAGATGTCAATCATCAAAAACTTGCTTATTAACCTGAGTTGCTTAGAAAAGACTTCCCATTCCCGGCATCTAAGTTCTGCTGTGTGTACAGGCTGACACCCCTCCCACAGGGGGTGGGGCTCGCGATTTTTTTATTATGTGCTGGTCCTACTTTTTGTGAGAGGAGTATCAGCCGAGGTGTAAACACCAGATGTACAAATAGCAAAATTAATGTAATAATAATACAAGTGGACAGTATAATATTTTCTTTCTTAGTCTTTCACATGCTTGTGATTAGAATCTTAAGTGACAAAATTGACTACTTTTCTTACCGAAGTACAAGAAAGCAGAGACTTGCCTTGGATATGCATATGAGTAAACAGTGAATTCAAGTGTAGAGGTTAAAATTTCAGGTCTCCCCTTGATAATCCAACTTTCTTCATTGCACCTGGCCTATCCATGTCTGTCTGTAGGGCCGGCGCATGACTTCTCAAGATTCCTTACATTTTTCTTCATCCATTGGGCTTTCGTCCCATTCTCACCGTCTCTCAACTTATTTCTGTTCTTCTCGTGCTCAAACAAATGACCTCTCTGTGTCAACTGCCTTATGCTTTTTTGAAGTACCACAAGCTACGTACATGGCTTCTCAAGAATCCTCATATTTCTCTTAGTCCATTATATTTCGCAGGACTGATCTCCTGTCCATGGTGGGCAGGAGATATCTTGCCCACCACTAGGGACAGGAGATCGATCCTGTAATATTTCGTCCCAGTCTCACATTCTCTCAAATCATCTGTTATTCATGCAGTCCCTTCAACTTCCAATCCAAGGATTCTTGAATGGAGGATACTCTCAATAGGCGGGCAACAATATTACTCAAAATTTCCAACCCTTGAATTAAGTTCCTGGTGACTAATAAATCACAACAGACGGAGTTGAGAAAGCATCGTTACAACGGTACCTGAACTGTTAAGGGATCGAAAACCCCTTCTTGTAGCAAAATTTAGATAAAAAAAGATCGGAGAACCCACCCCTTCTTATCGGGGGACTCATGAAAGCTGAAATGTTTAGGTAAAAATACTAATAACCAAAACTCAAATATTATGCACTTCCTGCTTACCAAAAAAACACAAGATGTGTTGTGCATTAGCATAACCTGCTAATCAAGAAACTCGTAAAGCAAGCAACTCCTTGCAGAATCTGTAAGGACAAAATTGCATACATTGAAATAAGAACATGATTCATATAGTATGAAAACATTATCATTCCAATGTATAGACTGAGTGTCTCATATCCTTGTCTGAATGTAAAATGTACAACATGTGCAATTCACAAATTCATTTAACCGCATGAAAGAGTAAGGCAAGGAAAAAAGAAGAGCATTGAAGTAATATTTACCATCTTGCAAAACTAAAATTCTCACATAGACAAATACAAATTTACTCTGAAATTTGATATATAAGAGCAACAATATATTGGACCGAAGAACATCCAATCCATTTCCCAATCTTTTACATAACATATTGTGAGAAAATGCAAGACATTATCTCTTTTAACTCTTTTATTCTCGGCAAATTGCCTACCATCATTTTGTTTCTTCTCTTGATAAAAGAAAACCAAAACTCATAGAACATTAGGAAGTTCCAGGTAAGGAACTCCCAGGAAATCTCCTCCATTCAAATGGTATCAATCGTGACTATTTGCTCGTCCAATAGAGTCGAGACCCTCAGTCCTGCTGCGCACTATTCTGTGGAACACTTCTCTAACCTGGCGCTCCAATGGATCCAATCCATCCTTTATAGCTTCATAAACCATTCCTAACTCCTTCACTTTCTGTCTTGCTTCACCCTCCTTTTCTTCTGTCAAGGGGAACTGGACAGAATCGATCAATTCGTTCATCTGCCGTGCACATTTCTCAATCTCGTGAATCTCCTTCAACAACCCACAAGCATTTTTCCTGTCTCGTTTCTTCGACTCTTCCAAAATCCTTTCGTGGAGGGAGAGCATCGGAACTGCCCAAAGGAACTGCCTAGCAATGGAAAAGTGAGTCTGAAGGCCACGGTCTTGACATGGGATTGCAGCCACAAGAGCCCACATTACGAAGAAAAGCACATAACTCATAGTGAAAACCACCACGTTCAGTCCATTGGTGGCTGTAACCTCATTAGGCTTCGGAGCAACCATATTGTTTCCAAGTGCTTGTAGCTGCTTAGCAGCCGACCAAGACCGCGAAACACTCCAAGAAAGTGATCGGAACTGGCCAAATGACTTGCGGTCCCTCTGCACATTGTTGCGCCCGAAGGACCTATTTCTATGTGCAACAGCCGTATTCGACTCTTTCTCATCAAGCATTCCAATAGTCAAATCGATCAGTGCCTTCTTAGCACGGCGAATCTGTCCTTCCCCAATGCTCCTTTGATTGTCCAAAGCACACAAAACAATCTCCAACTGCTTTTGCCATTGTCTAATCTGCTCAATCCCATCACGAATTGCATTACAAACATCTAAACCCTTAACACTCCTCTCAAAGAACTCATTCATATATCGATCCATAAGAGGTTTATTCAATGACCCCTTATTATTAAAAACAATAACCCGAAATTCTTCTTGAATACATAGAAATACTTCTAAAAGTTTTCGAGTCCACGGGATCGAAAGAAGCTCACCGGAGTTTGACGCTGCCAATTCATGAAACTTTTCAGCCACAAGTTTCTGAAAGGCTTCCAATTCAATTTCTTGGGCAGTGGCCTCGTGGGGAGACTCCATTGAATGGACCTGATCTCGGCGTCTGCTCAAAATTGAAAATCCCAAGCTTGAAAATGATGCAGATGATGCCTCTTGGTAATCTGTAGCTGGCATTTCTCAGGTTACATGAGATAGAAAAATCAAAATTTCACCAAACGATCTTGAAATTGACCACTGAAATTCAAACTCCAAGCAACCCAGAAACAGAAAAACCCACAAATAATTCTTAGAATAGCCCAGACAGACAGAGCAAAAGGATTCGATGAATTTCAAGATTTTCTTTTCAGAAGCTTCCCCTACAAAATCAAGAAAAAACCAATTTGTTGTTGGAATTAATTAAGAACAAAAGGGATATCAAAGATCAAGAAAGATGAAGTGTATGCGAACGAGGAAAGAGAAAGAAAAGGGTATGTTTGCAACCCTATTGAGGACGGGAGACTTTATATTGGTGTGATTTGGACCGCGTAAAATATTATGGGAAGAAACTTTTAATGCAAGATTTGGACAGTTTGATGTAATTGAAGAATTTATGGTTAACAAAGTAAGAAAAAAGAATTTAGGATTAATAACAAATTTAAGGATAATTTGTGTTTTAAAGGCTAATTTGATTGGAGTAAGTTCAGGCGTACATGGTGAAACTGAAAATGATCTATATTCACGCGCCTCCACCACGGATGGAACACGCATTCGTTTCCTATTTTCCAACTATTGGGCATAGCAAATATAATTGGCTCGTTGTTCCGCGTCTGTGTGCCGTGTTGAAAAGAATAATGTTATTTATAATCAGATCTATCGATAATCATTTTATGTGATATACATGTAACAATTTGTTATTTAATGTATGAAATAATAAAAATAATCTTATTAATGTATCAAATAATAAAGTGTCACATGTATGTGACGTATGACGATTATCGATAGTTTTCACTATAAATAGCATTATTATGATAAAAATCAGCAAGCAAGATGAATGCATTGTGTTGATTGCATAATGATACATTTTATTTTATTCAATTCGATTTTATTTAATTCAATTCAGTTCCTGTTTGATGTATTAAAATAAAAATGAATCATGCTTCAATATCATAATTTTTTATATAGCAAATATAATTGGCTCGTTCCGCGTCTGTGTGCCGTGCTGTACACGGTGAAAAGAATAATGTTATTTATAATCAGAGCTATCGATAATTATTTTATGTGACATACATGTAACAATTTGTTATTTAATGCATGAAATAATAAAAATAATCATATTAATGCATCAAATAATAAAGTGTCACATGTATGCCACGTATGATGATTATCGATAGTTTTCACTATGAATAACGTTATTATGATAAAAATCAGCAAACAAGATGAATGCGTTGTTTTGATTGCATAATGATACATTTTATTTTATTCAATTCAATTCGATTTTATTTAATTCAATTCAGTTCATGTTTGATGTATTAAAATAAAAATGAATCATGCTATAATGTCATAATTTTTTATACAATGCCATATGATATTTCATTATTGAACTATTTTAAAAATAGTCAGCTTTTCCATCAAATCATTTGTTGTCACTTCAAATTATGTCACTGCGCCCTTGTTTGGTAGATATTAAAATTAGATTTTTAATAGATTTTGATAAAAGATGATGAAATGTGTGGTTGAAAGTTGTGGATCCCATAAAATATGTGGTTAAAATCAATTGTTGACTATGACTTGAAAATTTAATTAGATATTAATCCAAATCAAACATGGGGTACATATGTTAAATTTCTTTTGATAAAGTGGCAAAATCCAATAAAAATTGACACAAAATCTTAGATCCTTGTCGTTCTCGTTTAATGATTTTCAGATTTATTCACTGCACATTTAGTTTCTGTTTAATTCATTAAAAAGTTGATTTTTTAAAGTTAAAATTAACTATTAATTTTAATTACATATCCATACATTTTATCAAATTTTATTAGAATATATTAAAATTCAAACATGGGCTAAATGTTTGTTTGGAAGAGATTATTTGAAATGGAAAAGAATTTTTGAAAAATATATTGTTAAAAAGTAGGAAAAATTACAAATTTACATATAAATTTATTTTATTGGAAGAATGGATTATTAAAAATAGATTTGAAGAAAAATAATTTTCAAACAAAGTATGTCAAACAAAGCCTCAAATATATCAAAATGCAAACATACACAATTGCGGTAGTCGATCTTGAAACAATGGACTACAAAATAAATTATGGTTTGTATTCCTTTAAAACAGAACTCTTTAATTTACTCATTTTCAACTATACATTCATATAATAAAATATTTTACACGTAAATCCAAAAAAAAATTCCTATATTTTAACCATCAAACATGATCCGAGTGCTTAGTCGACTACGATTTTATGTTCTTAAGCAATGGATTCTAAAGAACATTTGGTTAAAAATAGATAAAAGTCATAATTTTAAATAATATATAGGGGTTGTTTGAATCTCATTTTTTTTTTTTGAAAACATCATTTTCAAAAATTATTTTTAATAAAATAATATTACACGTAAATCGATTTTTAATCACGCATTTTAAAAAAAAATCGTTATTCAAGAATGCATTTTTTTTCTCTCTCAAAATGGGGC